CAAGTTATTTTTATTGAAACAAATTATAAGATAATATCAATAAGGAATACAGTTCACTTTTTTTTTTCTTTTAAGATAAACATATACTTGTGCAGGTGTAACTTCTCATATATAAATACAAGTATAAATGTTGAAGTATGTTTTAGGATTTTTTCCAGTAATCGGATTTGTAAACTGAGCTGGATCTGGTTTGGTGAGAGCTCGAAGTGGGAGAAAAAAGAGAGGAGAGTCTTTTTTTGAGCTCCACTTTGAGTCTTTTAGTGGTTCTGAGCTCCAGTGGCTGGTTGGTGGCGCTCAGATTCTGCCGTTCACCTTCTGGCTGTTTTCTCTCAGATCCCCGATGGCCGACACCCGCCGGCCTCAGGGCACCGGTCCAGATCCAGGTCCAGATCCAGATCCAGGTCCAGATCCCCTCACCAGAACCACAGGGACAGTCGCTCCCAGCCCCCCCCCCTCCGAGGGGACAGGAAGGTGGAGCCCAGGGCTCCCAGCCCACAGTACCGCCGGCAGAGGAACTACGTGTCCAAGTAAGACCAGATATCCAGATATTTAGATGCTTTGTTTAGTTTGAACTCAAGAGATTGTCTTTGAAATGTTAAAACGGACGCCAGCCGTCTGGTTAAGGTTCAATTTACGCTACAGATGTCCCGATCCCGGCCTATCAGAGCATGTGTTAAAGTCTAAAGTTATTTATCTACTTACTTATTTCTGATACTTACGTATTTCTGATTCTACTTAGTTGTCAGACTCATGTTGAACAGGGATTTACTCTGATAACAACTAGCCATCTGAATTAGGAAAGTCTGAATAATACACACTGGTTGGTAAAGAAACACTGACCTGTTTATTCAGGGATAAACACGAAATAGACAAAATTATGAATAACAAACGGAAATGGCATCAGTGAACAGTAAAAAGTGCAAATAATATTGTAAACATTTTAATCGCTATGCTGGAAAACATGGATAAAAAATGGATCTGGAGTCTGGATCTGCATTTTCTCCTGCCGGACGATCCGATCCAGATATTTACGCTAATTAAGGCTAATTTACTCTCTAATTTACGCTCTGATTTACTCTCTAGTTTATTCTCTGATTCACGCTCTAGTTTACTCTCTAATTTACTCTCTGATTTACGCTCTGATTTACTCTCTAGTTTACTCTCTAATTGACTCTCTAGTTTACTCTCTAGTTTACTCTCTAATTGACTCTCTAGTTTACTCTCTAATTTACCCTCTAATTGACTCTCTAATTTATGCTTTAATTCACTCTTTGATTCACGCTCTTATTGACTAATTTACATTTTAATTGCTATGCTGGAAAACACGGATAAAAAAAATGGATCTGGAGTCTGGAGTCTGGATCTGCATTTTATCCGATCCAGATATTCACGCTACTTAAGGCTAATTTACGCTCTAACTTACGCTCTTATTCACGTTCTTATTCACGCTCTTATTCACGCTCTAATTGACTAATTTACTCTCTAGTTTACTCTCTGATTTACTCTC